AGCATGGCTAAATACAGCAGGTTATTGTCACAAGTTCGCGCTAGCTATTTGCAAATGGAAAACCCATTTCAGCCTGTGAGAAGTGGTCCCTGTGAGACGCTGTGTCAGTATTCCTGACTCTTCAGAGCATCCGGGAGCCTTTGGAGCATCCGGCAATCATTTTGCTACGGTTCAATGCTAACCACTGTCTAGGCTGTAACGAGCCATGATTTAATTAGCCCCTGATAAGCCTCTATCACTATGGAACACGCGGAGTGCTGCTTTCCTGGCGAGACGCTCCGGGAGGCTTGGGGCTCCTCAGCGCGGGACCCGCGGGACTTCTCCTCCCCTGTGGCGGGGTCGGTGTGGTTTCACCCGCGCGGCCGTGGCGTGTTCGGGGCTGCTCTGTCTCATCACGCCCTGTCTTAATGACACGGCTGCGCTCCTTCAGAGCACTCCATGGGCTTCAGAGTCAAGGTGTTCTGCTGGGACAATGTTTGGGGACCTCATGGGGCTCAGACACGCTGTATAAGTGTCACAGCAGCGTGTGGCCCTTGGTCGTGGAGCCAGCGCGGCCCTGGCTGCGGCTGTGTGGCAGCGGCTCCTCAGGGCCGGGCTGCTCCATGCGCAGGGCCCCGAGCTCCGGCCCTCGTGCGCTCCCGCTCCGGGTGGAGTTTTCCGCGGGAGCCACTAGCAAGGGAGACGTCCTGGTTCCGCCAGGGGTTGCAGCCCTCTTTTACTGGAGAGATTTAAGCTGGAGAAGAGCAAAACGAAGTGCAAGAACACTGCTCCTCGGTGGATGTGTGTGTTTGCATTGCCGCAGCTCAGCGATGCCTTGGGGGCTGCTTTTCCCTTATCCTTCAAGCAAGGGGCCTGTAGGCCGGGCCGGGGCCCGTGGGCCCAGTGGAGGCTCCCAGCGGGGCGAGACGTGGCATCTCCTGCCTCCATTCCCATATCCCGTGGCTCTGTCTGCATAACTGAGGTCGCATGGAGCGCTCTTTCTCCAGGAACGCACCGTCCGCTGGGCCTAAGGCCTTTTGTCCCTTTATTCCTGTTGCAGCAAGCACGGGGCAATCTGCAGGATTAGGCAAAAGAATTCCTGACTCCTGGGGCTGCTTCATCCCGAAGCTATTCCTGGAGCACGGGCCCCTCCCGGGGAACTCCTTCCCGTGCGGAATAGGCCCCGCTTCCCCGCGCCGGGTAGTGGGAATGACGGGATCAGGTGTCCGTGCGTCTCCGGAGGCAGCGGCACTGCTGTCCCCGCAGGTGCGAGCGCCTGCCCTGCTGCTGCTTCCCGGCCCGTCACCACGTGGGGCAGCTCTTGCTGGCTGCGTCGGCCTGTTTCAGTATTGATGTATTCGGAACAAGTGCATGGGCAGTGGCGGAGGTCAGCACAGGAGCCGCCCACGCCGCGCGGCTCCGGCCCTGGCAAAGCGCCTGCCCGGAGCTCCCTTTCCTGGGGCACCTGAGAGCTGCAGGGAACTGGGCGCCCACGGTGGATACAGCCTCGCGTGGGTGCCCTCCATAGCGGTGCGAGGGTTACACATGTGTACGTATGTGAATGAGTTCGTCGCTGCCTTGCAGGACTGTGCCAGGAGCTGTTCCCCTCGGACAGAGCTCAGTCAAGGTGATGCTGTGCAGAAAGACCGGGTTCGAGTTTTACTAAAAAAAAGTGTGTTATTGTGACCCCAAGCAGTGAAATAGTCGGCCTCCTGTTGTAAACGCCACTAGGAAAAGAGCCCTGCGGGTTCCTGGCGGACGGCACGGCTCATCCCGGGGCAGCGCGGAGCCAAGAGCCGTGCGCCCATGCGAGTGGGCGCAGGCAGGAGCCCGGGAGCCCTGGGATAGCCCTGGCGGGAAGGGAGGCCTGTTCCTCCCGCGCCTGCTCAGCCTCTGCACGGATTTATGGAGTCACGTGCGCTGGGCCGGGATCCTGCAGAACTTTTCCAGCCCCCTTGGCTTTGTGCTGCCAGGCAGCTCGGGTGGGAGATGAAGGCAGGGGGAAGGACCTGCGAGTTTGGCAGCGCTCTAGTTATATCAAAGAGGGGAAAAAAAAGCTCGTGAGGCTCTGTTAGGATGAGGAAAAACACGGACTAAGCTTTCCCAGTGCGCAGATAAAGCCCCGTTTTTTTCCACGCAGCTGCTTTCCTCGTGCCGAGCGCCAGCTGCTCTTTGCAGTGGCCCCTTCCTGCTGGAGAGCAGGTTTCCTGCAGCAGCGGCCGCCGCGCGACCCCCTGTGTGCCGGGCCCCTTCCTCCCCGTGCTCCCCGGCTGCCGCATGTGGAGCAGGGGGAGGCCCTGGGACTGCGACCCCCGGCCCTGCTGCAGCCCCTGGCCCTGCTGCTGCTCCAGGCTTTGCAGTGCTGTGGGGAATGCTCCAGTTAGGGAAGGTGCCAAAGTCACTGCAATTTCAATTTGCCAATAAACATCCTCATGGTAGTACTAACCCCCATAACAACATGATACCCTGCCCTTTTTTTCCTGTGCCTGGGCAGAGTTTGTAGGAATGGGCGTCCAGCCGGGGCTGCACAGGGCAGCGCTGCCCTCTCCGCTTGTTCCTTTCATTCCTAGCCCCCTGCTTTGCGAAATGATTTTGCTCCACAGAATGTGCTTTGCAGTGCCGGGCTCTGCTTCCCGCCCCATTCCTGTGGCCCTGTGGGCGAGCTGGAGGGCAAGGTGGCAGCTGCGGCACCGAGGCCGCCCTCCCGCTCGCTGCTCCTGGCTCCCCCTCGCCCGGTGTCCCCATGTCCTCCCCGAGGCACGTCCTGCTGGTGCTTCCCTTCAGTCATGCGGCCGCTGGGACAAAGCCGGAATTCCCGTCCTCACGACTCAACCCTTCTACGTCCCGAGCCTTTGAGGCAGCAACCGATCCGTAATGCAGCTGGGGAATCTCACGGAAAAATGGGAAAATCCCGAGGGGTTTTGTTTGCTTGTTCTAGAGGAGCACGGCTGGAGCGTTACAAGGCGGTTATACCGCTGTAGCGCAAAGATAAAGGCAGGGAAATGCTTTGCTCAAGGTCAGCGCGAGGACTGTGGCCGCGCTGGCAGGAACGCAGCCGTTGGAGGCGCGAGCTGCGTGCTCGTGCCCGCGCGCCCGCGCCGCGTCGGGGCCCTGCGCAGCCCTCCCGACCCGTGGGGCCCTGGAAGAGCCGCTGCTGTCGGCTCGCGCCGCCGCTTCCGCCTTCCTCCCGCGCTGCCCGGTGTTACTCAGGCGCCAGCTCCGTGATTTAGGCTAGGAATAACCGGTAGAGGCCGTGCATGGCCTCCGCGCTGGGTAAGGAGCACCTGCCTTTAGCCTCCTCCTGTGAGAGAGGAGTGGCCCGTTGCTCGCTCGTGGTCACTGGAAGCTTCTCTAGCGCGAATGCAAGAGCCACGTGCACCCGGGGGAGGTGCCGCGACAGCCGTGCAGCGCAGGAGAGCGCGCTCGGAAAACCCTTGCAAGTTGCTGTGCGATGTTGGGAAGAGCTTCCAGAGCCTTCTGGCTTATAGGCGGCACGTGAGGAGGGTCTGGTTCAACGTCATTCTGACTTCCAGGCAGGAA